TATGTAAATGAAAAATATTATCTATAATTATCAATTGTTGAACTTACCTAGTTGAAAGATGAGACCCTTTTCTGAGGCCAATGGCACCTAATATACCCCATCCCTGTCCTCCATCATCGGCTGTTGCTAATAACGAACGTGCTAAACCTTTAAGGGCTTTAATAGCAATTTTAGTATTTTCATTGTATTGACATTGTCTATATGCTAATTCACAAGTTTTAGACCATAGAAGAGGTAATTTTTCTTCATTTATATTCCTAAACAAAATATATTTAACTGAAAATCTGTCAGTATAAACATGTTTTATAACCAATTACTTACGTTGGTTTAATAGCAGAGATCCAGTCAACTAAATTTATGAGAAGCACTCCTTCTTCTCTAATATCTTGACATAATGGAAGTCGTTTAAGTAAAACAAAATACAAAGCAAGAAGTTTTCCCTCAGAAACTAAGAAAGTTTCTAGTGGTGGTTGTCGAGGTATCACTAATTGTAAAATTGTTAAGACTGAAGCCCATGTTGGTGAAGTATCTTCACATGTTACTATATAAATTAAAATGTTACAAGTATAATTAATATTTTTAAACAAAAGTATTACATTGATTGTACACACCAAAATTAAACTAATGGGAAATTTCATATATGCTATGGGTCCATTTCCATTTATTTTAAAGTTATAACAAAAATGAAATATCGTACACATACTTGTATGTTAGGAGCATCCTTTTTTTCTTCGTGGTTTATGTATTTACAAGTGAAAACATAGGTTTGAACAGAGAAGTAAAATAAACAGTACAAAGTAGAACAACGGTTTCATTATAGGAATGTACTTACAATATTTTATGGTTTTATAACCTTAAAGCAAATAAAAATGGACCTGTAATATGTATAATGCTTAGATGTGGCATGTTAGATAATTAGTAAATGGCAAGAAATACATATGAATTATAAGAAAGTTATTGTTTATGTAGATTTTAAAAAGCTGTGTAAAATGAAACTTTTTTTTATTAACACACATATAACATAATTTGATAGAAGTTTCTTTCATTTTTGTATAATGTTAGAGTGCATAAGGTTTCAAGTACAAAGATATTATTTATATAAAATTGCTTTTTTAAGTCCAAAGGAACAATGAAAATGGAATACAAAAATAAATAATGGCATTTAAGAAAAAAGTTCTAACAGATAATCTTTCATATGAGTTAAGTGTAAATATAAAAAGTGGTTATAAAAATAATTTAAAGATGAACTGATTTATAATATTATTCAAACATAATATAAAACAACTGTACAAATATATAACTCAGCATTTAAAACTGATTAAAACAATATAATATACATAAATGTTTGGAGATATAAATATGCAAATTAAAGAGTGGTAAACTCATATACCTTTGTAAGACTTTTCT